CTGCCTGTCTTTGCCTAGGGCCCCAAATTTCCTAAATCCGCCCCTGGTTGCTAGCCCACAGCGGCAACTAATAACAAAGATGTCGCAGGCACTGCGTAGTGGAGGAGGAGTTATGTGACCAACCACACAGAGGTGATCCCGGGTACATGGTTGTGCTTGTGCTTTTTTTTTTTTAATTCGCGAAAATCCTCAACAATACCTTTAAGTTGGAAATAGGTCCTTCTGCAAACCTTACTACTAAAGAATGACAGGGAAAATTGCAATTTAAATCCAACACAACATCTTAACCAATTAAGTCGTAAAATGGAGCGTCAATGAGTGAGCAAATAAAAAACAAACACAACAAAATAATTCAAAAACAGGACACAATAAAAATCACACAGCTTACACACTTAAAATGTGTCTAAAATAAATAAAAAAAAAAAACAGCATTACTAAAGTAAAATAATAAAATAATAACAAAGGGCATTCTTATACTAAATCATAGGGTTCTAACAATAATGATAGTTTGGATTTAGTCAGTCTCAGATTTCCAATGGCAAAAAGTGGGCTTTATTTTAACATACCTACATCTATGAATGAAACATTTGCCCATCAGTATAAGACAGTTTTTCTAAATGTTCAAGAGCCTAAGTTTTACTTTCTACACCAAATAATGTTTGTGTCAGATATTGGCGACAATACAATATTCTTAAAGTTAAGCAAGCTTTGGAAATCTGTCCAGAATTAAAAAATTGGCTCCCAAAAACCCTGCTTATCTCCTTGTTTTAGAAAGTTAAGGATTAGAGCTTTAGACATTAAATCTGTGAATTAATCCTTTCTTACGATCCAACATCTGAATCGCTCCCAATACTAAAGAAAATCCTGGATCAGGCATCGATGGAAACATCCAGGGCCAGGTCTATTCAGTCTATTTCTAGAATTAATTCAGGTTGGGTTAAAACTCTTTTAAACAGCAAAGTTGGTAAACTATGGTAAAATGAAGAACACTAGTTGAATACTGTGTCCATGACTTCCTTTTCTGACCTCATGCTAATCTCAAGTTGCCTTTTAAGGATAAAACAATATATTAATGATAAAATTTAATGATAAAATGAATGATATTAATGATAAAATCAGAGCAAACAGATCTGTTGTCACAGCTATCGGTAGGTATTTCAAAAGTCAAACTGCGGGTCAGTTTTCAAACATCCATCAGTTTGATCCTCTCTGTCTCCTTCTGTGTTTTCCTGCTGTTCTTTTCTGCAGGTGGCCCACTGCTGTCTGTCTCCTGCTTTAAGGTGATGGAGGGGGGCGTGGCCTCTCTGTCCTGTCAGTACTCGGTGAATCGGTTCGGGCTGAGTCGGGTCTGCTGGGGTCGAGGCTGCGGGACCTTCTGGTGCAGCAGCATCCTGGTGCAGACGGATGAGAACGGGGTCATCTCCAAGGTCAGCCTCCTCCTCTGGTTCTTCTCTTTCAGGAGCTTAAATGGTTAGAAATGAAGCCCAACATGGACCTGATTCTGACTGGATGAATGCTGCCACCTGCTGGGCAGTTTGGAAATTACTTTTTCAATCGAATATTGAAATACAAAAAAACAAAAACAAAAAAAAACAACACTAAAATAGGATTATTTTCGTTTTTGAGCTTTAAGATTATAATTTAAATCAGCTTCCCTTTTCTACATTTAATTCATATACTTTAAAAAAGTCAGGTCATATAAAGTACTTTTAATATGAAATCATTACATACTGTTCAATAAAGTATAAGTGTTTTTAATTAAGAGAAATTTTCATTTGAATGTGCTTTACTGGAGGCATCCATGTTTGTTTAATGCATCTTATACCTGCTACAGGTGTAACACAGAGGCTGTTCAGCAAACACCTGGTGCTAAGGAGCCGGAGGTATTGCTCTAATTGCTTAAGAGTCAGAAGTGGAAGCAAATTATCAAACCAACAACGTCGTCTCGTTACCTAAAAGTTAAAATAAATGGGTTATTTACAGAATTAAACATAGGCTGCCATGACTTATAACTCCTCTCCTGCTGTTGTGGTATTGAAGGATGTAATCAGTTTTAACACACCAAGCATCTCTTTATGACGAGAAAACGGCTTTTGTTATCTTTAGATAATGAGAAAATTAACTTGTTTTTTCGAGAAAACATCCGTTAAAAACTATCTGAGGGACACAACAGCTCTCAGCTTCCGTACTTTACTTTTGTGTATAAGTTAACTTTATATCTGGTTATTTTATATACTGCTTAAATACAGCAAGCAGTAAATATTATCACTGGAGGTACTGGGTTTATAAGCTTTATGTAAAAAAGAAAACAGGTTTGGAAAAGAGTTTCTTCTGTTTGGATTAATGTGTTTCCATCAAATTATTCATTTGTTTTAATTATTTCATTATAGACTTTAAAACATCAGAATTTAAAATAACTTAACCGTTGGCTTTGTGTTCCTCCATCATTTTAAACAGTAAATCACGTTATTTTACTCATAAACCTTTTTACCAAATCCTTTACTTTTATTGAGTTAAATCCTGATGAAGCAGTGCTGCTCTGACCTCAGTACAGGATCATAAATATAAGTACTATATCATGTATTTACATCTATCCTGCAGAATCTGTGTCATTAAAAGGGAGTGTAAAATCACAGGAATGAGTGAAGCTGAACGTGTTTATTGATCCTCTAAAATAAAAGGTTCAAAACATCACCTTCACATTGGTACGATGTGAGCAAATATTATTTAGAAAGCCTTGGTTTGTATTTTTTTAGCTGAATTCATAGTAAAACAGTTAAATATAAATGACAAATGTAGCAGCAGTAGAAGGAAATCTCTCTCTTTGTGGATGGTTCTTGATAAATCCTGGTTTTATGAGTATACTTCANGGTTCTTGATAAATCCTGGTTTTATGAGTATACTTCATCCACAGTCACATGTCCTGGGTTACAGATATAGAAAAGTGTCTTTATGTGAGCAGGAGTTCTACTGACACACAGCAGGAGTCCACTTGTGCAAAACCAGAAAGGTAGACCATACAACTTCTGTATTCAGCATCCAGGGCAGATTTATTTTCTGCAGAACAGATGTACTGAACCTTCAGCTTTCTTATATCAGATATGGAAGTGAACGTTTAACACAACTCAACAGCACCCCCTTGTGGTGGGGAACAGACAGTACAGTACAGTACAGTACAGTACAGTACAGTACAGAATGCATTTAATCAGTCATACACTTATGTTAACACTTTATGTGCCTGTTTGATTTAAACCACCAGCACACCTACTGATTCTTACACGTATTTGCATGTTTTTTACAAAGTGATCTAATGATGAAGCAAACGCTGATGTGTTGGTGGATACACCTCCATCTTGAGAGGGTTAATAGTTTTCCTTTAACTGCAGCAAAGGAAATATTTCCCCCCCGTTTTTGATAACATTTGCTGCTCTTTAGAAAGAACCCGATGTCTCCTGTTTTTTTTAGGTATCAACAAGTCTGCAGTTGTAATCATTAATCTTTACCAATAAACCCCAAAAGGAAGTTTTCAGCCTGGTCTTAGAATACAAAGAAGGTTCCACAGGAGAGAAGACTGATCGCCTAAAGATCTGCCTCCTATTCTACCTTCAGAGCCTCTATGAACCAGCAGGAAACCTGCAGTCAGGCAGCAAAGAGCTGTTAGGATCAGAAAGGAACAAAAAGAGCTCAAATTTTGTGTATTTATAAAATGAATTTCAAGTATTAAACTCAGTGGCTGTTTCCCAATTTAAAAGAAAGCAAATACGGACAAAAATACAGGAAACTGAGCATGTAGCATAAAGATGGGTCAACTGGAACAGAAGCGTTCGCGTGATGACATCACATTCAAAGCTAGTCTGGAGCTGCATTTAATCTCCTGTTATTAATAATCTCTAGATAATAATAATAAATTCTTACTTTTTTCATTTAGTGGGGGAATAAAAAATAATTCACACACAGCAATGCAGAGAGAGGTGGGCTAACGTTAGCCCCGGCTGCGGTTAGCGTCAGAGGTCCGCTGGTTGCCGTGATCCTCTCAAATATCGGAACTTCTTTTTAAATTACGCACTTAATCTGTAAATGGGCCATATAGAGATGCTTAAAAGTATTACATTATTGGCTCAAATGATCTTAAAACGTTCTTTTATAGAGAACGTTTAACTTAACACTCTGAGCTCTGTGAGCGCTAACTTTGAAGCTGCTGCTACCGCGGTGCATGCTGGGAAAGCTGTCAATCTTGAGAACAGATAAGTCTCCTCTGATGCATTCTGGGTAAGGAGAGAGGGGCGAGAGCAACATCGGGGACTTTGTCTGTTCTCAGTCTGCCGTTCTTGTGAATTGTAACAGTACTAGGGCTGAGGATGATGGCGTTTCACGAGCACATGAGAACGCACAAACACACATATAGAGGAATGGCCAAAGTCTAAAAAATGTATTAAACATGGATAATACTGGCTGGGTCCAGTTCTGAAAGGTCCAAATAATCTTATAAATCATCAACAGAACATGTTAAAGGGGAGAAAACACAGAAAGTCTGAGGAAAAGAGGAACAGAACAGAAATGGATGTAGGTTCTCAGGAGACCAGCTCTGCGCAGCCAGACAGCAGGACATGTCGTCTGGGGACAGGAAAGTCTGATTCAGAGAAAACATCAAGATTATTCAGAGTAAAGGTCCAAAGCTTGAGATCTGCGATGGAAAGGGGAACTTTGGATGCGCGGTTGGGTCAGAGGAGGGTAGGAGACTTTAGAAGGACATCCAGGAGTCGTCTTCATCGTGGGAGCTTTATGGTTTGTTGAGGATGTCCTGAGAGTGTGTGAGCGTCACTGAGTGTGACTGTCCTGCTGAAGAACTGATCTGGGAATATTTGGAGGATAATAAGATAGAATCAGAGCAGAATTCATCTAAAAAAGTGAAGCAGTTTTTGTCCTTAACAAAGGGCTGGATTGATTTCTTTGTTTCTGCAGCTAATGTAGGTTTTAGGTTCACCATCGTCTCCTGAATACTTTCATTCTAATCAGCAGTCGAAAAAAAGAAGGGGGGTGGTGGATTTTTTTTATTTTTATGGAAGCATAAATAGCCTAATTAATATATTCTATTAACCCAAAGCAATATGCATGTTCTGGTTGTTACATGTCAGGTTTGCCGGTCATTGACCTTGACCAAGGTACCTTCCAGTAGAGCTGCAGTCAGTCCCTAGACTGGCATGGCTCACGGCCAGAGCTACTTACAGACTTAGGGACTCATTTCCCACTGGGATCAGCTTTATAGTCATGGTAGAACACTTCTTTGATTTTACTTTGGAACAAAACCTCATAAAACATTGCAAAGGAATATCTGAATCTTTTCAAGTCAATTTTTTTCTTTAATTCAAATTCAATTAATCAACTAGAAACAGCTGAATTTATTTTCAAAATCTGAAAAAAAAAAACTGCTTACAAATTCAAATACATTAGAATTAGCCTCAAATGAATAGCCTATATAAAATCTAATGATTTTACTCACCTTTCAAATATTCATTTAGAGTATTTATTTTATAAAATAGACTGTTTATCAGAAAACCAGTATTGCTTTAACTGAAGCTATTGACCATTGATCAGATGACAGGCATTCTGCAAGTCACACGAGGGACCTTGCAGTCAGATGTCAACATTTAATTCATTTATGACCATTGGCCAGACATAAACATCATATTTATATATATTCTATAATGTGTCTGTTATGTCTTGTCCTCTCAATTCAGAGGGCCCCATCCCTGTCTTTGCCAAGGGCCCCAAATTTCTTAAATCCGCCCCTACTTTGATCCTCCTGGTTTTCTCTGTCATGCCCAGAATGACCTTCCCTAAACTCCCGCCCATTGATGAGAAAACGGATTGAAATATGAACGAAAAGACAATTTTTAAACATGTTTTTAATGTTTTCATATTTCTTATCCATGGATGCCTTAAAATTGATAGTTTTGGTGGACAGATAAATTGGAATTAATAGGATTTTACTTGTATGTTTCAGTCGATGTGCTTCAGTCAGTGTGCGATGAATACATTCTCTGCTCAGTGGATGCTAATTCCTCATTTTGCTATCAGCACCATTCTAGATCATTTCTGACACTGTTTGTTAAACTTAGAACCTGCTGAACATTCCCTCCCCTCCTTATTTTCACATTTATTGTCCCAGACTTATAAAATTCATACCACAATCACAGAGAGCAGGTATAATTATGTGGAGAAACTTGCATGATTGTAAACACATTACTTCTCAAACTAGGCAGGGGAGGGAGATCTGGGCCACTTAGAACCTGGAACCTGCGGAAGATTCCCTCCCCTCCTTATATTCACAGTCCCTGAAATCGCGCCGTCTTTCCCACTCGGCCGTGATGCTGATCAGAACAGCATCACCTGCTCTCCCTCATTTTTATCAATATGTGGACTTTGCAACTCGGGGTGAAAACATTTTAGACTTGATTTACTCTAATATGAAAGATGCATTCAGAGCATCCCCCCGCCCCAACCTCGGTTCATCAGATCAGTCATGCTTATCCCTGCATATAAGCCCCAGCTGATCAGGGCTAAACCCACAGTTAAAGAGTTCTGAGTCTGGTCTGAGGGTGCCATGGAAACACTCAAAGACTGTTTTGAATGCTCTGACTGGAACATCTTTAAGGCTGCAGCAACATAACCAGACTCCGCCAGATAGATTTGCTCCGCTTATCCATTTGGAAACCTTCCGTTGAAGTAATTTTGGGAAGGGGCGAAAATACTGGTTAGCTGATTGGCCTATGTTGGTGATAGACGGGCCAAATAAACCAATCAGATCAACGAAGCATATGACGTACTAACAGAGCGACGACGAAAACACAACCACAAGCCAGGCACAAGCCAATTGAGAGATCAAACTCTTGCCGAAACCAGTTGGGAGAAGAGCAAAAACATACTTTCCTCTGAGAAAAGCCTCCTGAGCAGTGTTTTGCTCTTCTTTCAGTGAAGAAATATAGTGTAATTCCGATAAAACTTGCTCGATAGCCACGCTAACGCTAGTTTCGTCGGCTGAAGCCGCCATGTTCTTTAGACTGAACTGTCGCGCTTCTCGTTGCGTCACACCTCAACCTGCCTCAAAGCCAACGCTGATTGGACGTTCGTTTGGTGAACGGCTCCAAATTTTCTTTAACGGAGAGTCTCCAGACTGATCTGCGAGTGAAACCTTGAAAGCTCGCGAGATCAGAATGTTCTCATGAGGCTAGCAGCAACATATGACAACTTGTTAAATATTGATGAGTATGCTATGACTGTGTCATAGCATACTCATCAATATTGCTTTATTCATCTCCATTAAAGTTATAGTGGAGGATGTTCTTTTTCCAGGTAGATCATCAAAATAAGTGTCATTCATTCTGGCGTTATATTTACATAAGGCTATCCTATGTTTAAAGTGGAGAGGGCGGATCTTTTCAAAATTTCGCAAAAAATCCTCCTCTATACCTTTAACACAGAAAATAGCTGTGAGGAAAAAGGAGCTAGAGAGGCAGAGGAACTGAGATGGAAACACTGTTGTTCCGCATTAGGTGTTGCTGCTCGTAGCCTATGAGGCAGCATGTCGTCTCCTGACTGGTTCATTAAGTACTTTCCTCATACAAATTTACCATTTGACTTTTTGGAAATTCTTCCCTCTTTCTTATTAAAAAAAAAGACAGATGCCTTACGTAACTGAAGCCTGACCTTTAAGAGCAAAATGCGAATGAAAGAGGTGAATTCTGTACAGGCACACTTATTTTTTACCAACTTGCACCAATCTATTTTTAGGGGCAGTTGTGAGTAAAACTCTCGCACTATCCTGAATATATTATAACTAGTTAAACCCCACAGTTAGTAATCTGAACCCAACCTTGACGCTGCAGGCTGACGACAGGTACCGGCTCACGGGGGACGTCCTGGATGGACAGATGGACCTGGACATCCTCAATGTGAGGCGGACAGACAGCGGGCCGTACTGCTGCAGGGTCGACGTAGACGGCCTGTTTAACGACAAGAAGGTGATCATGAACCTCAGAGTGGTCAAAGGTGAACTCTGCTATATATTTCATTATTTTACTTATCATTTATGAATTCCTATATTGGTTATGAATTTCTAATTTCATGTTTGAACCAATTAGTCTCTAAAGCTGTCATTAAATGTCTAAGTAAATATTTTGGAGAAAACAATATGTTTCCACCTGGTTTTGAATGAATAATCCAATCCAATAAATATATGTCCCCATTAGTGGCATTCTGCTTGATTTGATGAAGGCACTATCAACCTTTCTTTCAGTAAAACTGTCCAGCTTTCAGCAAAAAACCAACAGGATGGTTTGGAGTATGATGGAGGCTAAAGGCTGATTTATACTCAGTAACCTGGTCGTCTGCATGTCTGTCGCAGTGAACGCAGAAATGCCCCGCCCCCTCCACAGAAACTCTGCTGCACCTCTCCAAAATTGTAGGTGACCACAGACAGTGGTCAGAGAGGAGGCCTCTGATTGGTCAAATCTACATCCACTCTACACTATGCGTATTTCCTGTTTGGTGCCTTACCGGCATGTTTTGTTTGTGTGACCCCCATTGTGGAAAACGACTCGTGAAAATGGACCAGCTAGAAGAGCGAGGTGCACGAGAACCATGGGACCCTTTTTCCACCTGGATCCCCGCTCTTTTTCGCCCTCATGTCCCTCCGTTGTCACACAAACTTGCCCCCACTTCCTCACTGCATCGACCATATCTAGACCCACAGCTAGTTCCTGATTGTCCCTCTTGCGTTGTGGCGTGGAATAACATAGTGCAGACCACACTTCAATACTGGTCATAAGGGGTGTAAATAATAATGATTTTGTATCGATGCATCGATCCAACAGCCGACTATCGGAAGCATCGACATGTTCACATGAGTAACGATTCATGTTTTGTTTTGTTTTTTCCTCCGGTCTATTTTTATCCATTTGCTCCTGGACGTAATTCCGACTCCCGTCCTGCGGTGGTGCTAAACCTATTTTGCCCTCCTACCTCGCTTCCTTTAGCCACTACCCTTTTTCCACTTGCAGTATTTTTTGAGGCTAGGCCTTTCAGAATCTATAACACCGAGGCGTGATTATTTTTCAATGAATGAGGTTTTCTTAGGCCTAGGTGGAGTACAACTTTGCTACTTGTGTTAATTGCATAACGATATTACAGCTTTCATTGATTTATTTTAAATTTGAAACATTGTCTAGTGTGTAACATAAAAAAAACAACCAAAAATTGAATCGAAAATAATCGAATGGGTCAGGAAAATGATACTGAATCGAATCGCCATGATGAGTGTGATTTGCACCCTTATTGGACATAAATCAAAAATATCTGTGACAAGCTCACTGCGACACACTGCTGTTGGAGTATAACCAGCCCTTAACCCTTCCTTCTCCTTCATGCTCTAAGCCCAAAAGATGACTCTACCTGCTGGTGGATCCAAAGCTGTAAACATACTGAATTTATTACCTGTACCATTATGACTAGAGGAGGCGAAGGAGTTACTAAACATCTGAGCTACACGGCAGGACAGAGGAGGCGACACTGAAGAAGCAATAGGACAAAGGGCTGCTAAGCTGAGCTAGGCTACGCTAGCTGAGAAAACCCCAGTGAAACTTGAAAGATCTTAAAATGCATCAACAGAGAATCTGTACTTTAAGGCTCTCTGTGTTAGAACCTCTCAGAGAAATCTGTAAATGGATCCAGTTTGGATCCAGTGTTCCATCTACCAACACTGATGGATGTCTGCTTTCTTTAGCTCCATCCACCAATCCTCCTCGGAAAACTACAACCACAGCCATGACAACAGCCAGAGCCACCGAGCCGAGGCTCGCTGAGCTCTCCACAGAGCCGACAACCACAGGTTTGTAGATCCCTGCTGAAGGCGACTGAGAAGAACCGGTAAGAACCTGGGGATGGTGACCCTTTTCTCTCCATGCAGTAAACTGGAGAACCCTGCAGTCGTCTCAGCGGGTCCCTCTGAGGAGCAACTCCACTCAGCTGCGCTCTGACGCCATCACTGTGAGGGTCCACATCCTCTCTACCTAAATGTCCTGCAGCAAACCTGAAGAACCTGACTGTGAACTGATCCACTTCTGTCCTGTTTGACTTTCAGGCGGATGATCCTCTACCTTCGCTGTCTCTTCACATCAATGCTCCCGTCCTATCGCTGTCCCTCAGCGTTCTGCTGGTCATCGCTGCTGTTTTCCTCTTCCTGGCCTTTAAACGTATGTCAGGAACCAGTTTTACGTTTGATTATTTTCTCATTTTACAGTAGAATATACAACATTCTGCATGTTCTGATGAAACCATTAGTTTCTGAATGTGTCCCCCTAAGCAGCAGCACATTCTTGCATCCATTAAGCCGGGCATACACTGTGCGATTTATTCCAATGGTCTCACGCAGCTACAGCTCACACTGTACGACGAGACGGCAGGGTTTAGAAGTTCTCAGCTCACGATGTATGTTCCTAACCCGGGCGTACACTGTACAATTTTTTGCCCTTTTCAGGCCGACTTTCCAGTCGCACAAGAATTTTTCGATTGGCCCCGACTTTCAGTCTGATCGCCCGCCATGCGTTGTGTAGTGTACAGTGGGTAACGAGGGGGCGATCAGCCTCTCACGACCACCTCCCGATCAGGAATCATGACGTCAGGAGAAAATCAAACATGTTTGAAATTCAGTCAGCCGTCGTCGGTGAAATCTCTCAGTACGCAAACAAGGATTCTCCTGCTTCTTCTTCCTCTGATGATACTGTAAAATTGACAGACTGAGTAGCCTCTTTTGCTCAGACATGTCTTTGTCTAAATGCGTTCAGCAGACAACATTGCACAATTTGCCAAGGCAGCGCGTTTCTCTCTGGTGAGCCTCATACTCCTTTAGCTTCCTGATAGACGAGTCCGAGTAGCGCCATCTCACTACGGAGTCCAGCGTGGTTTTTAGACGTACAGTGTGAGCAGGTAGATCGCATCAGAGCGTCGGGTCGCACAGTGTGAGAACATACTTTGTGAGCTGTGAACTCACATTGTATGATGAAACCATGCGGTTTTGTCGTACAATGTTAGCTGTAGCTGCTGCAGTAATTGAAACAAATCGCACAAGGTATGCCCGGTCGACACTGCGACCCAACGCTCTAATGCAAACTACCTGCTCACACCATACGCCCAAAAAACACTTCTGACTCAGCTCCGCAGTGAGATGGCACTACTCGGACTCCTATATCAGGGAGTCAAATGAGTAGAAGTGGAATATGAAGCTCACTAGAGTGAAACGCTACCTTGGCAATCTTGCAATCTTGTGTGCTGAAAGCCCTAAAGAAAAGGCGATGACGTATTTGGACAAAGACATGGCTGAGCAAACATGGCTACTACGGTCTGTCGATTTTAAAGAAATAACTCAATTTCACTAGCACCCCCGCCATGCTTCTTTGTTTACATCTAAGAGGAAGAAGAAAAAGAAGAAGAATCCTTGTTTGCGCACTGAGCAATTTGCCCACGACGGCCGACCGAATTTCAAAGATGTTTGATTTTCTCACGACCTCACGATTCCTGATTGGGAGGTGATCGTGAGAGGCTGATCCACCCTTGTTACCTCCTGTACACTACACAATGCAAGAAGCACGATCAGGCTGAAAGTCTGCCTGATCTAAAAATTCTTGCACGACTGGAAAGTCGGCCCGAAAAGGGCACTAAATCGTAAAGTTAGACCTTTCAGTGGGAAGTTAAACTGGTCTCAATGCTTCCTTAGCAGCAGGACCACCAGAGCAGCACGTTTATCACCAGCTGAGGGTGGGCTCATTAAGGAAAGGAAACATAAAAATGTTTTTGCTGTTTTATAAACTGTTATTTGAAAAATACCAAGTGGCGCCCTTTGACTCTACTTTGGTTTTTAATCCAGGTGGGATCTACAGAGGAGCTTTAAAGACACCCTGGTGAGTAATCTCTAGTAATCAGACTAATTCCTAGTGATTCATTAGGTAGTGTCCGTGTCTTGGGTTCCTCTAATTATTCATTAGAATCAACCAGTGTCTGACCTGCCATGTGATCAGTGTTCTCTTTCTCCTTCAGTTTGTCCTCTGATGAACCTCCTCACATTATCTATGAGATCCGCATGAGAAGACCCGTTCAGGAGAACATCTACACCTTGGACTAGAGTGCTGAGAGACAGCAGACAGACTGTCCTGATCCAGCATGGACTTCTTCGTATCTCATCAGAAAACCATTCTTCTGTGGTGTGGTGATAAAACCCATGTGCAAAAACAAGCCAACTCCTAAAAACCCTGGTAGACAATCCACCAGAGGTCCAGAGGACTGATTTGTGAGCCCAGGATTTTATATGAGAAACTCTGGCGTATTGGATTGTAATCTTTAAGGCTGTGATCAAGACTAAAGAAAAGATGTTAAATCATTTACCCAACCTGAGCTGAAACAGAGCTTTACTTTGTTGTTTACATTCTGTAAATCGTTGTTTTTTTATTAAAAGTAAGGCTGATCACTATGACACTACTGGCAGGAAAAATAACAAAATGTACCTATGCTGCATTCGCTGATATGTTATAAAGGCTTATATCAATACTTTTGCTGAACTTAGTGTTTGTTTTATAGGGAGTTTTTCCTCTCCACTGTTCCTGCAAGCATGCTTAGTATGAGGGATTGCCTTCGAGTCAATGAGTCGATGCAATCAACTGGTTTTCCTTAGATAGAAAACTTTGAATCAATTTGACTGTATGATCTGTTGAACTGTAAAGTGCCTTGAGATGACGTGTTGTGAATTGGCGCTATAGAAATAAACTGAATTGAATTGTAATTTATACCAGTTATTCTTTCAGTTTTACTGAATATTAAAAGTAATAATTAAAAAATCGAATTGCTCGAAGATTGGCATCTTTCACTCAGTAGATTCTACAATACACCTAATAGGATGATCACTACGGATCAATAAACATGCATACAATAAACAAACTCTTATGGCCAAAATGTTTTTAAATGAAAGCCTCTGGGATTCTACAACACCTCTTAGACCAGCGGTTCTCAACCTTTTTCAGTCACAACCCCCAATATAACATACAATGCTGTTCATGAGCCCCCATCCCAATACCCAATCAGTATACTTATATGTCGCATTTACATAATCAGACAAGCACTTATTCACTCACTTAAGCTTAGTCTTTTTTATCATTTAATTGTAGCTAAATCCCATCATTTTGCAGTTAAAATGCAAACAAATAATCCAGACTTTATTTTCTTTTTGCTAACTAATAAGATAACAGCCTGTGCTAAACTTTAATGCTACGTTCAGACCAGACTGCGCTGCAAGAGCAGCAAAAACGAGCGTGCTGCTTCATTTTTGATGCTTGTACAAGTTTAGTTCTGGCGCGCAGCTGAAGCATCTTTGCTGCTCTGGCTGTGAGGTTGAAAAGTGGTTCTGGGCGGAGCTACCCTATCCTTTTTTCGTCTGTAACAATGGCAGCTATATTTGCTGTGATCAGTGGGTAAAAAGTAGTTTTAATTTGTATTTAAGTGAGAAAGTCCACCTGAAACTTCATCTGTGCTGTCAGTTCATATAGATTACCGTCCTGCCTTCAAATATTATTTGCTGCGTTTGCGCGTTCCGCATGTCAGATGCTCAGAAGCTCAAGACGTGCAGCTTCAGCTGTGGGATGTTTTGCTGCACCTCGATGCGCGTCAACTATTGACTTTGCATGTAAACTAGCGGCTCCCCCTGCTGTTTTAGGGGTGAACGTAGCATAACCAAACAGCCTAGAAAATAGCCTGTGTTTAAGAAGTCAGTAGTAAAGGAGCACAACAGGGTACTCGCATCTTATCTTTGGAGGTTTAATACAAAATGTTTGCAAAAATATTATCAGGGCTAACTTTATGTTCTCTGTCTGATAGGAGTAATGGAAGAAAAAACAATCCTCCCCGTCGGGGAATCGAACCCCGGTCTCCCGCGTGACAGGCGGGGATACTCACCACTATACTAACGAGGAGTGATGTAGTAATCCTAGAGCCATGTGAGCTGTTTGTTCTAGCAGTGTTTGTCTAGCTGCGCATGCGTTTACCCAAAGAGCCCTGAACAGTTTCCCATTCATTTTCTATGGTAGTCCTAATCCAATACGGATGTAATACATTATATTACCACCACGTGATTTGGCGCTGTTTCATCTTATTTAGTGGCAAAGACAGAATACTGTATTTACCAAGGAGCATTTTTGGAAACACAAATGCAACACAGATCTATTTAATGGATCCATGACATTTAAAAAATATTTTTGTTGTGAATGATGGATGACAAATAAAATATGGATCATTTTAACACTTGTGAGGGCATCATTTTTTAGTTGTTGATTTCACAATCCACTGCCATAAAAGAGGTATCTGTTTGTAAAATTAATTTCTTGAACTAAAGCCAAATATATTGTGTTGATTTCTAGTAAAGTAAAATAATGTAATAACTCCAGTTTTCAAGACACACAAAGAAATTAGATCTTTAAAAAAGATGTATTACATACATTATTGGAGGTCTCAAACCTATCCTATGACCTTTAACTACTTCATCATACTTTCAGCTAGAAACACCATTCAACTTTTAAAATCTTTCCGCATCTTTCTGCTATCACTGTTTAACTCTGCTTTTTGCTAATTTTTATTTTATTTTTTGCTAACCAAAATTGTTGAAATCGGTTGAAAACTGCATGATTAGTTAAAGTCAGAAAAATTAAAAGAGCAAAACAATAAGTGGGAATTCATAAGCATTCCCGCTTATTGTTGATTATACTTGTTGTTTATACTTGATTATGTAACTTGATGTTATATGTATCACTGCTCATTAGTAAAGTGGTGATTATCACCGCGTTCTCACGTTTTTTAGTAGTGTATCTGCTGTGGTTTTTGCAGTCCCTGACTTGTTCATCCTTCAGCGTTTCCGTAGTGTAGTGGTTATCACGTTCGCCTAACACGCGAAAGGTCCCCGGTTCGAAACCGGGCGGAAACAATATTATTTTTCATGTCTCTACTGAATGAGGCTCCCCACCAGTTAGACATCAATCAGGAAAAATGCAGAACAACTTTTAGACCGAAGAAGAGAGAAGAAACTGTAAAGCTGCATAAGGAGGGGCATACATTCTAAGATATTTTCAGTGGTTCTACTCAGCTGCAGCTCAACACAAACACAAAAACCACACGTCGGACTCAGCGCCGGGAGATGGCGCTGGTGGTATTCATCAAACACATTGGTAAAAGTCCCACGTGACTAAAAACATGTTTCCGCCCGGTTTCGAACCGGGGACCTTTCGCGTGTGAGGCGAACGTGATAACCACTACACTACGGAAACCTTGATAGGGCTTCGGTCCATTGTACATCGGCCGAACGGGTTATTTACATGCTCTGACATGCTGTTGTGTGCAACACATACATGGAACGCTCACAACTGATTATTGCTGTCAACGGTACTGTATTGTTTGGACTTTTATACATCCGGAAAATACTCATCTGTCTGCTAATACCAAAACAGATACCATCAATCCGGACGTGGATTAATGCTGAACTACCGGCCAACCCATACGCATAAAAGGACACACAAGGCCATGTAAATACTCGGGTGGGATTGAAGTCGGAGCATGGCCGTTTCCGTAGTGTAGTGGTTATCACGTTCGCCTAACACGCGAAAGGTCCCCGGTTCGAAACCGGGCGGAAACATCACTTTTTATCCGTTTGGTACGAACTTATCAGGCTAATATGCTGATCACCGCGGTCTAAAACTATTTTCGAACAGAGCACATCTTTAGAGGGTAATAACGCACGGAAGACAACTGTAGGAAAAAGAGAAAAAGCAAAAATGGACATCTCAAATTTGTATCAGCAAAATTCATTTAGTGGTCCAAGTTAAAGCTAAATAAAGTCATAAAAAAAAAAAAACATTTCAACATGCGTTAATGACTCCAATAGACAGAAGAAAAATTGTTTCCGCCCGGTTTCGAACCGGGGACCTTTCGCGTGTGAGGCGAACGTGATAACCACTACACTACGGAAACCGCCATGCTCCTGCCATCTCTTCATAAAACAAAATCACCGCATTTTACTGCCAAGGCAGCGCGTTTCTCTCTGGTGAGCCTCATACTCCTTTAGCTTCCTGATAGACGAGTCCGAGTGCATGCTCTTGCGAGCCCTTCATAAAACAAAAGCGCCGCACTTTACTGCCAATAATATACGTAGCGTATCTACACTGCTTTCCTGTGCAGATTGCATTTACATTTAACTGAATAAATGAAAGAGTCCCGTTAAAAACGATTGAAATAACAAAAAACGACCAACTACAACCGGCCTACCACCAACCGGTGCATAAAATATTAAATATATTTATTTTTATAATAAAACTTCACCAACACATCATCCATATTTAGATATAATGTTATTTTTTCCATAACTACTTTCTCTAATAATAAAAACTTGTGACGCGTAAACTTGCTTAACTTTGTGCTTTAACTGCTGCACCGAATTTAGCATCCTGCTCTTTTTTATCGAACACACGATAAAACACTTCCGTAATTTTCTTATTCTTACCGTTTTATCCGTCGGTTTACAGTAAAATTATCCAACTCCTCTTTATTCCAGGTTATCGAAAAACATTTGGGGTTTTTAAGCGAAGTAACAGTTAATCTTCAAAGACACGCGCATTGATTGGCATATTTTTTGGTACTTCGGCCTTGTGTTAGTCCGCACAGTGGGCCTGAGGTCACGGTCAGTTTATAAAACAAAATCTTCCTAAGCTCGTTTCTTGAACTCATTCCCTTTCCTAAACCCCGCCCCTTCGCTTTATGGAAATATATAATAATTTTAAGTGATATGCGAAGGAGGCAGGACCGCGAACAAAACAAAATCTAACAAAAACTAGATCCCCCAAAAATCTAGCTTGTAAAATTCAATTTTAAATGTTTTTTTCGCTACATTTTGTTTTTGATTTTTTTTTTGCATTATCATTCACACATATACTATTCCAAAAGCATATAAAAACTTTAAGTAAACAGTATAATAAAAATAAATATAAACATCCTACGAGATAAAACCAGGGCCTCTGGAAGAACTTTTGAACAAGAGGTGCTGTGAAAATGTATTTTTATTTTTTGGACAATAGACCTATGAGCCTATATACCTATTTAAAATAAAATAAAAATAAGTAAGTAAATAGATTCAGTTCTTTATTTTCATATAATTTGGTCCATTGGCATAAACCTCACTGTGTTTATGTCACATGTGACTCTATTAGCTTCAAAATAATTTTAAACAAACCACAAGGAAATAATTTTATTATTATTATATTTAATCGTTATTGAACAGTTCTCCACATCAATTACACAAAGAGCTCAAGATCAAAACAACACTAAAATACTATGGTTACGTTAAACTGCACAAATAGATATGAAAACATCATGCTCTTTAGACCGAATTTTTTCAAAGCATCAAAAATATGTAGGCTAGTGCAATAAAATTTGTTAACATTTACACAGGTGTTAATGTGTTTGGCACCATATGTAAGATTATTATTAGCTTTCATTTGGTACCACTAACACTATAGCATAGATCTCTGGAAAGCTACAAGGGAAAAAAGGACATAACCAGGAGAAGGGGGTGCTTCAGGAGCTGGAGGCAGTAGTAGCAGCTCAACAACAACTGATGGGATGAAGCCCAGGCAGCAGTCCCCTAATGCTCCAGCATCAGATCCTCTTCCACCAGGATATAAAATCCCATTTGGATGCTAAGATCCTATCCAGATCTGTCTGACATCACTGCTGCCAAGCAAACATGAAACAGGTGCCTTCCATAACTAGATATAGTGACTTAATATCGCAATGTTTTTTGTTTTTTTTATCACTGTGGCTTACATTATCAATGCTGCACTCTAAAAAATGAAATTGTCTAGAGTACTGTTCTAAACAAAATTTCTTTCTGTTTAAACGTCTGTATACAAAATAGCAAAATAAATCAGTCCAAGTCTAAATTTTGCAGCATTTTTGACAAACATCAACAATAAAACTACATGGCTCTCGAGGCAGGTATAGCCAAGGCACGATCAAAGTAACTGGTATATTTTAGTAATTCAGATCTTGGAGAATGGGAATCAGTTTGCATGAGTTTGATGAAAAAGGTCTTATTTGAAGAGGTCTAATGCTCTTACTTTGAGCTACAGGCAGGGTGGCCTGCCTGGTTACAGGGGTCCAAATGTTGAGGTGCGCTCTGAGGTCGTAGAGATAAAGTCTCTCATGAACGGATGAATGCAAAATGTGTTTCTGTGCCATATTTCCTCCTCGTTTCTGTCATTAAACTGTGTACATTTACTATTCTGCTGCCACGAGCAGGATACTTCTTTACTAGGTGACCACTAGCTTGCTTGATGTTGCCATGACAACATATCTTCTGTGAACTTGTGTTGATTAGGCCTCAAAACAGTTAATTAAAAATCCAAAGAATTCTTTAGAATTCTTTCCCTAAATATTCATAAGAAATTTGTAAATGGTGCAAAGTATTTCAAATTCATTTTTAAGATCTCCCTCTCGCCACCAGAGGGTGCTGCAGCACCACCCCCCCCTTCCCGTGGCCATGAATAAAACTACAATTTCCATGTAGAATTATTGTTTTTCTTAGTTTCTTAATATTTAAGTTAAGTTTTTGAATAGAAGCAATGAATCTTTTTCAAGTAATTATCTTTAAAATTATTGAAGAATGTTCTTTTCCTACACCCTTTCATATTGTGGACATATTTTTTTTAATATGATTACATTGAATATATATTTTCATCAGAGGAAAATGTTGGACTTTTAACAATAA